TTGGACACATTGTTTGACACTTGCATTGTTGTCAAGTGCTAATTGGATGGGAAAACTGTTTGAAATTTAAACTCTCCAACAGGGTAATGTCATGTGGCAAGGTGTAAACTAAAGTGTGTACACCATAATGTATATATAGCAGGTTCTTACCGATAGAACTTAGCTATTTGTACACTGATTTTTGATACGTTGTTTAACACATACATTGTTGTCAAGTGTCAATTGGATGGGAAAATTGTTTGAAATTTAAACTATCCAACAGGGTAATGTCTCGTGGCAAAGTGTAAATTAAAGTGTACACCATAGTGTACATGTAGCAAGGTCTTTATCGATTGAACTTTGCTATTTGCCCACTGATTTTTGACACGTTGTTTGACAGTAGCATTGTTGTTAAGTGTCAATTGGATGGCAAAGCTATTTGAAATTTAAACTGTCCAATAGGGTAATGTCACATGGCAAAGTGTAAACTAAAGTTTACACCGTAGTGTATATGTAACAAGTCTTACCGATTGAACTTTGCTATTTGTACACAGATTTTTGACACGTTGTTTGACACTTGCATTGTTGTTAAGTGTCAATTGGATGCGAAAACTGTTTGAAATTTAAACAGTCCAATAGGGTAATATCACATAGCAAAGTATAAACAAAAGTGTACACCATAGTATACATGTCGCAAGGTTCTTACCAATTAAACTTTGCAATTTGTACACTAATCTTTGATACGTTGTTTGAAATTTGCATTGTTGTCGAGTGTCAATTGGATGAGAAAACTATTTGAAATTTGAACTGTCTAACAGGGTAATGTCATGTGGCAAAGTGTAAACTAAGGTGTACACCATAGTGTACATGCAGAAAGTTTTTACCGATCAAACTTTGTTATTTGTATGCTAATTTTTGACACGTTGTTTGACACTTGCATTGTTGTCAAATATCAATAGGATGGAAAAATTGTTTGAAATTTAAACCGTCCAACCAGGTAATGTCACGTGGCAAAGTTTAAACTAAAGTGTACATCATAGTGTACATGTATCAAGGTCCTTACCGATTGAAATTTGCTATTTGTATACTGATTTTCGACACGTTGTTCGACACTTGCATTGTTATCAAGTGTCAATTGGATGGAAAAACTATCTAAAATTTAAACTGTCCAATAGAGTGATGTCACGTGGTAAAGTGTACACCATAGTGCACATGTAGCAAGGTTCTTACCGATTGAACATTGCTATTCGTATACTGATTTTTGGTACATTGTTTGACACTAGCATCATTTTGAAGTGTCAATTGGATGGGAAAACAGTCTAAAATTTAAACTGTCCGACAGGGCCATGACACGTGGAAAAGTGTAAACTAAAGTGTACACCATAGTTTACATGTTGCAAGGTTCTCACTGATTGAAATTTACTTTTTGTACACTGATGTTCGACACGTTGTTTGACACTTACATCATTGTCAAGTGTTAATTGGATGGGAAAATTGTTTGAAATATAAGCTGTCCGACAGCGTAATGTCTCATGGCAATGCGTAAATTAAAGTGTACACCATAGTGTACACATGGCAAGGTCCTTATCGATTGAACTTTGCTACTTGTACACTAATTTTCGACACGTTGATTGACACTTGCATTGTTTTCAAGTGTCAATCAAATGGGAAAATTGTTTGAAATTTAAACTATCCAGTAGAGTAATGTCACGAGGTAAAGGGTAAACTAAAGTGTACTCCATAGTGTACAAGCAGTAAGGTTCTTACCAATTGAACTTTGTTATTTGTACACTGATTTTTGACACGTTGTTTGATACTTGCATTGTTGTCCAATGTCAATTGGATGGCAAAACTGATTGAAATTTAAACTATCCAGTAGGGTAATATCACGTGGTAAAGTGTAAACTAAAGTGTACACCATAGTGTACTTGTTGCAAGGTTCTTATCGATTGAACCTTGGTATTTGTACACTAATTTTTGACACATTGTTTGACACTTGCATTGTTGTCAAGTGTCAATTGGATGGAAAAACTGTTTGAAATTTAAACTGTCCAGTAAGGTGATGTCACGTGGCAAAGTGTAAACTAAAGTGTGTACACCATAATGTACTATTGTAAAATTTTGTTTCGCAAGTGTACGACCCGTAATAAATAATAGTGGACCTAAGAGTCCACTTTGTCGATCCCACAAGAACTATTTTCTAATACTTAATTCAATCTTTCTTTAACTACTATTTGACTAACACAAATCAAAGGTTGTAGAATCTGGGTTTTAATCTAAATTCTAGAAAATAATAATGAATGAATGTTAGGGTAGAATAACTTCACCAATCGATCACCTTTACATCTCAAATTAAAACTTAATTCTAATGTAGTGCTTGGTCGAATTCTCCTATTGTATTCAATTTACACCTCTCGAGTTCTCATTGAGCCTATTCAACTAATTAAATTTCATATCGCTATGCAAATTCAACTTAGTTAAACGAGTTCTATGTCTTAGGAATTCAATTATGACTGCAATAAATGGTATAGGTATCTCCACTTGTTTTACCAATGTACTGGATTTTACTACATGGTCGAAATCCTAAACTCATATCTCTATTTGTAAAGAATTCACAAAAATCATCAAATTATTGATCAGATAATTTAATGCATTCAACTCATAGCAAAATCAACACATGGAAGAATTAAAAACTGAAAATCTTAATAAGAGAATGTAAAAGATCCCAATAGGTTACATTATTCCCCCTAACAATGAATTTAGCTACTCATAATACAAGAAGAAAAGTAGGAATTTGTCTTAGAATACATCACCGAGTTTGTAATAAAGATGTAGAAGAAAAAGTAGAATTCTTGCACCAAAATCTCCTTCCTCTTCCAATGAATGCTTCTAATCTTCAATTGCAGCGCCTAGGCGCTATAACATAGCACCTAAGTGCTGGTTATAGCACCTGGGCGCTATGTCTTCAGTGCCTAGGCGCTATGGTTGTGGCGCTTGGACACAATGATTGCGGCACCTAGGCACTGCCTCTGGTCCAAATTTCATCTTTCTTCAGTTTCGTAGTGCCTAGGTGCTATGAATGCAGCGCCTAAGCGCAGTCTTTCTGCCCTAATTTCGTGTCTTTGGCCTCTTCGTTCACTTTAATACTTCTTTTCACATCACTTTTCATAATCTTCAAAACAACACTAAGAAACACATCAAAAAATGTTCTATACTCACAAAATCTAACAAAAATCAAGCTAAAATTGTGCAAAAATCATGAGTGTAACAAACTCATCATGTACATGTTGCAGGTTCTTACCAATTGAATTTTGCTATTTGTACAATAATTTTTGACACGTTGTTTGACACTTGCATTATTGTCAAGTGTCAATTGAATGGGAAAATTGTTTGAAATTTAAATTATCCGGCAGGGTACTGTCACGTGGCAAACTGTAAACTAAAGTGTACACCATAGTGTGCACGTAGCAAGGTTCTTACCGATTGAACTTTGCTATCTATACACTGATTTTTAAACATTGTTTGACACTTGCGTTGTTCTCAAGTGTCAATTGGATGGGAAAACTGTTTGAAATTTAAACTATACAACAGGGTAATGACACGTGACAAATGTTGACATGGTTGACTTCCGTCTATGTTTTTATTATAACAAACAAGATATAATTTTGGTTCCAACAAACCTACTTTTGAATCATGATAGTTGAAATCAAATCGACCATTGCATCAAAATGAAGATTCATGCATAGGATAAGATAAATGCACTTACGAAGAACGAAACGAATGCCAATGTCAAGAGGAATCAAGATCGAAGTCATAAACCTTGATGATCAAGCATATTGAAGAAAATTATATTAGAACCCTTGAATTTATATGTAAAGGTATAACATTTTAATATTTAACAAAGAAGTCTCGGGAGCTCAAAATAAAATCATTCAAGGAAAAATCTATTTTGGAGAATTGAGCTACCGGATGGTTCGGTAGTGTACTGGACGATCCGATAAAGGTCTGACACCTGTCTCACCAACGGCTAGTAGCCTTGTCCAGTACGTACCGGACGGTCCAGTACACTTGCTTGGTAGGGCAGACTCTTGACTGTTAGGAAGATCTTTGAGAGCTATAAATACCACTTTCTCTTCACTATTCAAAATAACTATTCATGAGCATTAAGTGAAGTATTTTATTGATTCTCTCAACCTTATTTATCACTCTTTTAAAGATCAAATCATTCATTTGTTAAAAAACTTTTTGAGTGATCAAAAGTTGAAAAATCATTTATCTTAACTAAAATTTTTCAATCAAAACACTTGAGCAACCTTCTTTGCTATCAATTAAAGTGTTTACCTACTTCTCTCTTATATTCAAACTAAGTCTATATCATTTATTAAGAGAGAAGTTTTCATTTGTAATTTCAATTCTCTTATTTTTGGATTGTGGGTCATGTTGAGTTCCCAAAAATCTCAAAGGTGTAAAAGGATCAGTGCTCCTTGATTATAAGTCATCGGAATCTTTGTAAAGGTTGGATTGCACCATAAGTCAATCAAATATAGTGAAAAAGGCCTTGCTCGTGATGGAGAGCTTGGTAACGGGGGACGTAGATCGTTAATTGGATCGAGCCTCCTTATTACATCGTTTGCGCTCTCTCTTCCCTTCCTCTTATTATTTTTGTGATATCTTGCTTACTAATTATTTTAATTGTTATTTGCTTAAATTTGAACTTATTTTCGAAATTTTTTCAAATAACCAATTCACCTCCCCCTCTTGGTTAGTTGTTCTCGAATTAATGATAGTTTTCAAATGATAAGAGAAAACTATCATTAAATGCCAAGACTAAAAATTTACTTTATTGTGCACTTGATAGAAATGAATTTAATCGAATTAGTACATGTGATTCGGCATATGATATTTGGCATGCTCTTGAAGTTACTCATGTTGGTACAAGTAAAGTTAAAGAAACAAAGATAAATTTACTAGTTAAAGAATTTGAAAATTTCTTTATGAAACAAAATGAGCCTATTGTTGACATGATTACTCGTGATATCGATATTGTAAATGGTCTTAAAGGTTTTGATCGTAAATTTACTAACGGTGAACTTGTGAGTAAAATGCTTAGGTTCTTATCGGAGGAATGGAGTCCATTGAGGATGTTGATCGAGAATACTAAGGATGTAAATATATATCCTTTGGAAGAGCTCTACAGCACATTAATGACCTATGAGCTAAACAATGCCGATGTTAAGGAGAAAATGAGAAAAAGCAAGGAGGAATCCAAGGAGCCTCCTAAACGACAAATTGCATTAAAATCGACATTGAAGAAGGAATATCAAATGAAAATATGAGCGATGAAGAATTTGATGATTTGGTTCTTCTTGTCAAAAAATGGAAAGGTCTTCATAATAATAGAAGATTCCAAAAGAAAGAAGAAAAAGGGGAAGATAGGAACAAAAAGATTGTTTGCTATGATTGTGACAAGTCGGGTCACCAGAGAACCGAGTGTCCAAACAAAAAGAAAAATTTCAAGAAAAAGGTACTCCAAGCCACATGGGATGATAGCGACGACAAAGAACCAAATGGGAATGATAGTCAAGATGAAGTGGAAAATATGTGCTTCATGGTAATTAAAGACAAGGTATGTTCTTATGATGAGCTTTCAATTTCTTATGATGAAATGCTTGAAAATTTTGAAAAACTCACTTTAAATCATGCTATTCTTAAAAAGAAAAACTCTATTTTGGAAGAAGAAATTAAGAAAATTTTCGAAAAGCAAAAAGAGAGTTGTAGAACCCCAAATAATTCTAGACACCTTAGTGGCACTAAGACATGAATATTGAATGACTAAAGAATACTTTAGATTTTTAGTCTCATTTGAGACCCATTTACGACATAGAAAACATTCAATTTGGAAAATTATATCTAAAAAAAAAGTTGTAACTCTTTGAGTTAGCTTTCCAACGCACTTTGAATTACCTCAATCGGATATCGGGAGAAGAAGTTATGATAAAAACACTGAAAGCTGTGCAGTGTCAACCGAAATACAACCGGTCGACCGAAATTGCCTGAAATGAAAATTCTCGTTTTTCTCTAGAATTTAAATATTTATTTTCATCAATTATTTTCTCAAAGGGCCACCCACGTTTTTGGCAATAAAAAGCCCCCTAAATTGAAGCATTTAACCTCAAACTTAAATGTCACCCATGTTTTCTCTCTTAAATGAAATTTGACCCTTCATTTGTTTTAAGTTATGGAATATTTACCTATAAATAGAGATCTCATTTCACTTATTTTTTCTCACACCAAAAGCAAGAGCTTTTACATACTAAAGAAAGAGTTTTCAAGAGAGAGAAAGAGAGGGAGGAAAACGATTTTTCCTAGAAGTTTAAGAAGTGTTTTCAAGCATCAATTCTCAATTGTTTTTAAACATCCAAGGAGTGCATTTCTTTCAACGTTCAAGTTTCATCGAAATTTTCAATCCAAGTTTTCAAAGTTTCAAAAACATCAATCAAGATAGGTAAAGGTGCATTGTGTTTAATCGTGTTAAGTTATAAGTTTCGATTCATGTTAATGTTTGTATGTCAAATAGTACTCCGGTACGGCATATCCCTCTATGTTAATGGTTGCATGTCAAATGGTACTCCAGTATGGCATACCCCGCTATATTGAAGAAATGTTCGTATGTCAAATCGTGCCCTCGGGTAAATGGTGCCTTCTGGTACGGCATGTATGAAAAGTTATAAAGTTAATGTTTTGAAATGTATAGCTTGATCACGAATGCACCTATGACACCTATTGAGTTTTTCAACTCACGGGTTTAATCCCATCTCTACAGATTGAAGGAATTCTACCTTGGGCATGGATGGAGAAGAAGATAGACAGTGATGCAACGAGCCCGTGGAAATCCAGTGAATAAGTGATTTGAATTTATTTTTATGAAATGTTTTCCAATGTTATTTCTTTAAAGTTTTGAATAACTCAGAATGCGAGAACAAGTTATGTTTTCTTCGAATAAATTACATTTTGTTGTTTTGAAAAATGATTCAGTGTTTTGTTTAAAGTATTTGAAGTATTGTTATTTAAATTATTATCCGAAGATGTAAGCTTCCGCTAAAATGTATACACTTGTTACTAAACCACCGGTTAAGCTAAGTAAGTAGCGTTCCGGTCCACTAGAGATGGGGGCGTTACAAGAGTATTGATCATGACCTTTTGATAAAAGAAAACATTTCTTTGAAAGAAAAGGTTAATGATTTAACACAAATTATCCATAAGTTTACCGAAGGTGAGAAAAATTTTGATTTAATGCTCGGTAGTCAAAAGTGTGTTTTTGATAAAGGAGGAATTGGATACAAACTCTCCCTAAAACAAAAATCACTCAAAAATATGTTTGTTAAGGCTGCAAATATTTCATGTAGCTTTTGTAATAAAAGTGGACATATTGCTTTTAATTGTGTAACTAAACAGAAATTATTCTTTGAGAACAAATACAAGTGGATACAAGAATCCACAAAAACTAACTATCAAGGACCCAAATTTGTGTGGGTACCAAAAGTCAAAACTCAATTTGTCCTTGTAGGTACCGAAGAAAATAAAAAGTAAGTGGTTCTTGGATAGTGGATGCACAAAGCATATGACTGGAGACCGATCATTATTATCAAACTTTCAAGAGGAGGATGGAGGCCATGTGACCTTTGGAGATAATACCAAAGGTAAAATAATCGGCATTGGAAATATTGGTAACCACTCATCCCCCTCTATTGAAAATGTTTTACTCGTTGATAATCTTAAACATAATTTACTAAGCATTAGTCAATTATGTGACAAAGGTTATAACAAAAAATTCGATTCTTTCAAATGCCTTATTAAGGATGCTATTTCGAAAGAGGTAATTTTTATAGGAAGCCGAAGTAAAGATGTTTATTTTATAAACATTGAATTGGAAAATAATGAAAAATGTTTACTTAGCTTGAAAGAAGAATCATGGTCATGGCATAGAAGACTTGGACATGTAAACATGGATCTTCTTTCAAATATTTCCAAAAATTGTTTTGTAAAAGGTTTACCGAATTTGAAATTTGAAAAAGATAAAATCTGTGATGTTTGTTAATTTGGAAAACAAGTAAAAAGCTCTTTCAAACCAAAACTTTATACTTCAACCACAAAACCATTACAACTTCTCCATATGGATCTTTTTGGACCTTCTAGGATGGCTAGCTTAGGTGGTAAACATTATGCTTTTGTTATTGTCGATGATTTTTCAAGATTTGCTTGGGTTATATTTTTAAGCTTAAAAGAAAAAGCTTTGAAAACTTTTAAACATTTTTGTAAGAAAGTTGAAAATGAACAAGACTATTCTATTTCAACTATTAGAAGTGACCATGGTGGAGAATTTGATGATTTTTGTAAAGAACATGGATATGAACATAATTTTTCGGCTCCTGGAACACCTCAACAAAATGGTGCAGTAGAAAGGAAGAATCGTACATTGCAAGAAATGGCTCGTATTAAGTTAAATGAAAATAACTTGCCTAAATATTTTTGGGCCAAAGCCATTAATATCGCTTGCTACATTATCAATAGAGTATTAGTAAGCAAAAGGAAAACTAAAACTCCTTACGAACTTTGGAAAAATAGAATTCCAAACATTAGTTATTTCAAAATTTTTGGATATAAATGTTTTATTTTAAATACAAAAGATAATTTGGGGAAATTCGAATCCAAATCTGATATTGGAATTTTCTTGGGATATTCATCGACTAGCAAAGCATATAGAGTTTTTAACAAACGAACTCTAGTCGTTGAAGAATCCATGCATGTTACTTCTGTTGAAACTAACTCATCTGATCGAGAGAAAGGTAGTGATAACGATGTAGGTTTGGAAGCTCCTTTCGAACAAATGAAAATTCAAGACCAAAATAACGAGGCACCAAATGGAGAAATAGAAAAGTCAAATGCTCAAGAAAATGAAGAAAGACAAACCGGAGAACAAAGTGATCCCTCGTTACCAAAAGAATGGAGGTTTGTTCCATCTCATCCCAAATAGCTAATAATTGGCGATCCATCAAAAGGTATCACTACTAGAACCTCTTACAAAAATCATTTTGGTAGTTGTGCATTTATTTCTCAAATCGAACCTAAGAATTTCAAAGAAGCCAAGTTTGATGAGTTTTGGATTCTAGCGATGCAAGAAGAATTAAATCAATTTGAAAGAAACCATGTTTGGGACTTAGCCACTAGACCAAAGAATCAAACCATTATTGGAACAAAATGGGTTTTTAGAATTAAAAGATATGAAAATGGAATAATTGTGCGTAACAAGGCTAGATTAGTGGCCCAAGGTTACCATCAAGAAGAAGGTATCGATTTTGAAGAAACATTTGCACCCATAGCAAGATTAGAATACATTCGTATGCTTCTTGCATTTGCATGTTACAAAGATTTTACACTTTATCAAATGGATGTTAAAAGTGCTTTTTTAAATGGTTTTATTCAAGAAGAAGATTTTGTTGAGCAACCTCCCAGTTTTAAAGATCACAAGTATCCAAATCATGTATTTAAACTTCAAAAAGCTCTTTACGGTTTGAAACAAGCTCCTAGAGCTTGGTACGAACGGTTAAATAAATTTCTTCTCTCAAATGGTTTTTCGATTGGAAAAGCGGATACTACACTTTTTATAAAAACTCATAAAATGATATGCTCATGTTCAAATTTTTGTTGACGATATTATTTTTGGCGCTACAAATATACATCTTTGTGAAGAATTTTCAAAATGCATGAGTAAAGAATTTGAAATGAGCATGATGGGTAAGTTAAAATTTTTTCTTGGCCTTCAAATTAAACAAATGAAAGAAGGAATTTTCATAAATCAAAATAAATACATATTAGACATGCTTAAGAAATTTGACATGCATGACATCAAGCTTATGAACACACCTATGAGCACACCACTAAAGCTTGATAAGGATGATCTGTGGACGTCACAAAATATGGAGATATGATCGGATCCCTTCTTTATTTAACTACTGGTAGGCCCGATATTATGTTTAGTGTTTGCCTATGTGCTTGCTTTCAATCTAATCCTAAAGAATCACACTTAAAGGCCATAAAAAGAATTTTTCATTATCTAAGTGATATGAGAACTTTAGGACTTTGGTATCCAAAAGGCACTCATATTGACTTAATTAATTATTCGGATGCTGATTGGGCCAAATGTAATGTTGATCGTAAAAGCACAAGTGGAAATTATTACTTTTTAGGCTTTACACTTGTGTCTTGGTCTAGTAAGAAACAAAATTCCATTGCACTATCTACCATTGGGGCGAAATATATCTCGGCCGCTAGTTGTTTTGTACAAACACTTTAGATGAAACAAACTCTATGTGATTATCATTTGTCTTACATTCATGTGCCTATTTATTTGATAATACTACTGCCATAAATTTGTCGAAAAATCTCGTCTTGTATTCACGAACTAAACATAGTGAGATTCGACACCATTTTCTCCGTGATCACGTGCAAAAAGGAGATATTTAATTAGAATTTATAAAGACTGAGGACCAATTGGCTGATATTCTCACCAAACCTCTTGCACACGATCGTTTCACATATATTCAAAGAGGTTTATGAATTATCGATGAAGATGAAGTTGAATGTGGTTAATTCTCCCTATCACGTTGATCAACGTCCATAGGCTTTTACAAAATTGTCCAAATTATTGCTTATTTATGACTTCATCATATTTCAGTATCTTAGTTAAAAAAAATTGTATCGGACAACAAAAACAGACCGTCTGGTACATACCAGACAAGGCCAACGGACTATCCGATACATTAGTCCATTTTTAACAGAAATTCTCTGCCGTACCGGACCGTCTGTATGATATATCGAACCGTCTAGTACAACGGGAAATCGTTTTCTTAAAACCGAACTAGTCATTTTCCTCCTCACTTCTCCTCATTTTTGAACTTCTCTCCCTCAATATCTTCTTCCTTCATCCTACAACATATTCCTTTTGCTAAATTCTTAGAAATCTCTCCTACCCACAACTTCTACACTCACTATTACTCAAAATCTCAAGCTATCATAGTTCGAACCCTAGCTCTTTCTTCATCAATTTTTCAAATTTTCCACCATACCAAGAGTGAAAAGAGCAGTAAATTGCCCAAAAGGACTACTATACATCCTCCACCAAGCTCCTCCGATGAAGAAATGAATGAGGAACCCTTGGTACCAATGAACCCATTTGAGAAATCTCCCATTCTTATAGGTAAAAATGTCAATCATTCTGATTTTACACTATTAACACCTGCATTTCACATTGAGGATTTCTTAGAACACATGGGTTGGAACAATGTAGTCGGGATGAAAGAGCACGCATATCCTAGGTTAATGAGAGAATTTTATCACTCAATGGTTATTCGGTCGGGCACAATTACGTGTTTTCTTAACAATGTGCATATCACTATTTCCAAAACACTCATTCGTGAAATTCTTGAGCTTGACATGTGTGAAACACAAATTTATCATCATAAGGCACATCCGTCAATAGAGGGTTATAATTTGAGTGATGCTTGTCGACATGTTACCAGAAAATATTTTGAAAATATCAACAAAACTAGTACACATCACTTGAGTTTACCTTGCAAGGTTTTACAACACATTATCGCCCATGTCATACTTCCTCGAAAAGGATATCGAGACGAAGTCAATTTCCTCAACCTATTTATTCTCGACTCTTTTCTTGTGAATCAAAAATTAGATTTTCCAGCTTTGGTTATTGAAACTATGGAACACGTGCATACCTCTCGAAAAATCAAAGCTCTTCCATACGGCATGCTTTTAACCAAAATTTTCAAACACTTTCATGTGTCGTTGGACAATGAGCCTTTCATCAAATTACATCCAATCGACACCATTAACATCAAAATATTTGCACGAATGCGAATCATAAAGGAAAATAGTCAATGGGTAGTACACACAACGGGGTTCGATCCTACCTCGGGTCCATCCACTTTAGCTTTTGAAGGTGATGATGAGGATGATTTCAACAATGCTCAAATCCCTCCTTCTGACATTCCGAGCTCGAGTGGCCCTCGACCATTGAGTAGAGGAAATAGCATGACCAAAGATCAATTTAACATCCTCAACGGTCGTATTGACTCTCTCACTTCCACCATCAACAGTTTTGGAAGTTTACTTCTCCAGCTTCAGGCACAACAAATGACTATCCAAGACCGACGGGCAGAGATGCAAGCCCAATAAACTGCCTTCTTTACTGATTTCTACTCTAGATTCCCTCCGGCACCATAGTTCATTCATCGTCATTTATAATGCTTGCCTTTATGCTTTCCCTTTGAACATTGCAGTACTATGCTTCTCTAACTATTTTTGGGCTTCATGCATTGTTATTATCCAAATCTATTTTGCTTCTATGTTCTTACATTCAATGGTTGACTTCTTTTTGCTTATACCAAAAGGGGAAAGTGATATGTGGATGATTATGCAAAAATATGCCAAATGGAATAAATAGTGTAATGGTTAATTATGCATAATGTGTAAGATTAAGGAGAAATATCTTCAATGTATGATCATTGATGTGCAAAAGATAGGGGGAATACAGATATATATTTGTTAAATTTGTGAATCATTCGTCTTTTGCAAATCATCTTGTTTGTTATAATCAAAAAGGGGGGAATTGTTGATATGGTTGACTTCCGTCTATGTTTTGATTATAACAAACAAGATTTAATTTTGGTTCTAACAAACCTACTTTTGAATCATGATAGTTGAAATCAAATCAACAATCACATCAAAATGAAGATTCATGCATAGGACAAGATAAATGCACTAACGAAGAATGAAACGAATGCCAATGTCAATAGGAATCAAGATCGAAGTCATAAATCATGATGATCGAGCATATTGAAGAAAATTATATTAGAACTCTTGAATTTATATGTAAAGGTATAACATTTTAATATTTAGCAAAGAAGTCTTGGGAGCTCAAAATAAAATCATTCAAGGCAAAATCTATTTTTGAAAATTAAGCTACCGGACAGTCCGGTAGTGTACCTAACAATTCGGTAAAGGTCTTTGGCCAACGGTCAAAATTTTTCATGTTTTGACACCTATCTCACCAACGGCTAGTAGCCTTGTCCGGTACGTACCAGAAGGCCTGTACACTTGTTCGGTGGGGCAGATTCTTGACCGTTAGGAAGATCTTTGAGAGCTATAAATCCCACTTTTCTTCACTATTCAAAATAACTGTACATGAGCAGTAAGTGAAGTATTTTATTGATTCTCTCAACCTCATTTTTCACTCTTTTAAAGATCAAATCATTCATTTATTAAAAAAAAAATTGAGTGATCAAAAGCTGAAAAATCATTTATCTCAACTAAAGTTTTTCAATCAAAACACTTGAGCTACCTTCTTTGCTATCAATTAAAGTGTTTACCTACTTCTCTCTTAGCAAGGTTCTTATCGATTGAACTTATCTAGCTGTACACAGATTTTTGGCATGTTGTTTGACACTTGCATTGATGTCAAGTGCCAATTGGATGGGAAAAGAATTTGATATTTAAACTGTCCAACAGGGTAATCTAATATGGAAAATTGTAAACTAAAGTGTACACCATAGTGTACATGTAGCAAGGTTCTTAAAAATTGAACTTTACTATTTGTACACTGATATTGACACGTTGTTTGACACTTGTATTATTGTCAAGTGTCAATTGGATGGAAAAATTGTTTGAAATTTACACTGTCCAATAGGGTATTATCACGTGGCAAAGTGTAAACTACAGTGTACACCATGGTGTACATGTAGCAAGGTCCTTACCGATTGAACTTTACTATATGAACACTGATTTTCGACACGCTGTTTGACACATGCATTGTTGCCAAGTGTCAATTGGACGGGAAAATTGTTTGAAATTTAAATTGTCCAATAGCGTAATGACATGTGGCAAAGTGCAAACTAAAGTATACACCATAGTGTACATGTAGTAAAGTTCTTACCGATTGAACTTTGCTGTTTGTACACT